AGATAGATAGATAGATAGATAGATAGATAGATAGATAGATAGATAGATAGATAGATAGATAGATAGATAGATAGATAGATAGATAGATAGATGCAACTGAAAGTGTAGTGAAATGTGTGTTTTTGTGTGTGACATGTAGTGAAGCAATTGAGCGCTCAAGTGTGGAAAGCCACAACAGCCTCAGGCAGAGACAACAGTTTGAAATTACAGGTACTCTAGATGTCTAGAAGGTAGAAGCTCCCATACAGGAAGGAAGAATTTCATTATTATTTCATTACTGATCAATGAATTGTCCAGTAAATAACTGTGCGCACATGTATACTGTACCTTTTCATCAGGTATACACTGGCGGACATTTTCCAGATAGGCACTAATGTTTTCCACGTTTGTGAATCGCAGCAGGATTTTGGCAAAGTCTTCTTCACTGATAGTCGTCATACCTTTAGAGTAAGTCAGGAACTCAATTTCCAACACCTCTGTCTGGAGGTTATCCATAAATCTGAAAATAGAAAGAAAGGACAGTAAAAAAGACAAAAAGAGAACTGTTCTATAAATCATCCATTCTGCCATGTGGTTAATACTGTTAGCGTTAGCACTCTTTCGGTTCTAGTACCTGTAGAAGTCATCAAAGGTAAGCTCTGCCTTCCCCTTCTTCCCAAAGAAATGGACCAGTAGTGTGGTGTCAATTGTGATGCTATCATCTGCTCGCTATCAAAGAGAGAGAGAGAGAGTGATACGAGAGACGATCAGTGACTAAATGACAAACCTCAAGCGTCATGGGTGGAGAAGGACGAGTCAATCATTAGACCAACATGGCCACCGCTGTGCCAGATTAGCAGGAAGCAGGGTTCTATTGCACGTGTGCAAAACGTGCACTGGATGAGCATTACAAATTACATTACAAATGACATCACAAATTTCAGTCACAGTCATCAGCTCAGACAAACAGTCAACAGCCATCATGAAATCAAACTTACCAGTCTAGGAAGCATAATATGATGTGAAAAACAGTCAGAAGAGCCAATTAAAAATTTACAAGCAAACTGAAGTAAAGCAGGTAAGTAAAGAAGGGAAGTCAGATTATATCTATTAAAGAAATCATTCTCTATGCAGTCTAGACTGGTGAGTAGTGATGCTGTAGCAGCGTGAAACACAGACTGATACAATGTTAAGGAGTACTCAAGTATCAGCCCAAATAAAGAGAAGGCGGTAAGATCATAAGTCATGCCTACATTCACAGAGCCAGTGTGAAGGTAACGGTGGAGGTGAACAAGAATGCAGGAGGAAGGAAGACAACATTTAAACAGGTGGAGTTCATTAAGGACAGAGAAACAGACGAGGTAAGCAGAAGACATGAAAGGAAAAGAAGACTTGTGGAAGAGCAACTAAGTGCAACACAGACAAATACATGACAAAGACACATCCCATGCATTTCTTCGCAAATGCCACATTGACACACCTAAACAGAACCTCAAGTCACCAAAAGCAACACTAAACAAAAACCACATAAGCACAAGTGCAGAGATTTTGTGAGCCGATTCCACCTTTTTCCGTCATCAGATGTGTTTGGTTGCATATCCTTCTAGTCTCCCTTGAGTGTGTGTTGACTCTGTGACCCAGGTCATTTAAAATCCATTCAATGAGCTTTGGGTTGTTTCGACTGTTTGCTCTAGCTTTAATCTGCTGGTTAACACCTTGTTTAAAGCAAGGTGACATAATTAGGATTTTAAGCCTTTGCAGAAACTTAATCTAAGTATTTAGTTCACTATTTTCTGTTCATACACAGTAACATACTTGTATCTTTCAGAAAAAGGTGACTTTTGAGCAGTTCCAGAAATGAATCAGGCAGCATCAGGACAAAAAAGAGAGGAATTCAAATACACATCTTCTCTCTATTGACCTGTCATGCCCCACCCAGCCAACCTTCATTTCCAATCTTTCACCATGCTGAGGAAGACGCAGACATAAGATTAAATAAAATCTCATGTCCTTCTAAGAAGGAGCATTTATGGCATTTCAGTCATCATCATAAATATCATTATCACCACGATGCCATTCGTGGTTCTACCTCAAGAGTAAAATCCTAAAATCCAGTGTGGGACAAGAAGAAAATGTGAAACAAGATCACACGTTTATTTAAGGGACAAAATATCAAGAGGTCTTTTTTTTGTGATTTGTTTGGTGTCACACAGTGAATATTCATTCAGTCAGTCAGAAATGTCTGTAAGTGAGCTGCAGTCTTTCTGATAGAGAGGAAACCATCCCCACGGATAAGAATGAAAAAAAGTGATCTTACAAAAAACAACTGATGTGACAAAAGTCATTAGAATTTTGCTGGGCATTTACCGGGCTACATTTTAGTCTTTTATTAAATTGTTGTTATGTATGAATTAATAAAAACAACTAAAAACTCTACTGGTTAAAGTAAATCGTGTTTCAATTACAGATTCTTTTGGTCATCAATGCACAATATTAACAATAAGCTGCAGGAAGATGCAGATGTTCAAGGCAGTAAAATTCTTAAATGTATGGTAGATTAAACTGGAACCACACTGGTAACTCACACAATAAAAATGTCTTGTGAGAAACAAGCATTAAAAGTAAACACTGTAGTAAGACCACTCTTAGCTTTTGGTCTGTTGCTGATTCACTTAAGAGTCTGGTCTTTCAGTCTTTGATTAGGGACAAAGGAAGATTTCCTTTGTGTAAACACAAGACAAACTGAAACAATTACAGACTTATCATTGCTGTGTCTAAGTTTTCTGTGTCTCATTTACTAGACGTTCTTTTCATTAAGTCTCTGATTACGGACAAACAGGACAAAATTTGTTTTGCTCTTTTATCTCTGAACTGACGCATTACTGATGTCTTTATGACACATGAGCTGTTCATACATCTAGACAGTATCCAGGTGGCGTGTCTCTGCCTCTCTTCCCTCCCACGTGGAGTTCCCTTAATTCTGTTTTGTTGTTTTGAACTCAAAACAAGGAAATCATTTCGCATTATCTTTATTCAAAACTATTGTGACTGAGGAGTTTATGTATCTGGTGGGTGTCTATTCACCGCTGCAGTGAGTTATCAGCTGTTGCACAAAGACTTGTACTAAATGTATTTCAGGAGTCTTCAAGATATATTTTGAAAAAGGATGGATCCACAGCTACAGGAAGTAAAGCCTGCAAATGAGTGGAATACACTATGGTTGGAGTGATATTTACTGAAGTGTACAAACTAGCAAGGGAAATTACTTAGATTACTTAGATTGATTGTACACTGTGGGTGTAGGATATAACACCAGTTATCTGAGCTTTGTTAAAAATAAAACATGTGGTTAAAAATTAATTACTAAAGCTACATTAAGAGATTTTTGACCACTACTTTGGTCACTACCAATTCCTCCATTAACTTTAATTAAGCTTTTTCACAAAAGAAGCTCCCGATGCTGCTAAAAAATGAGCTAGACCAAAGTAATAATAAAGTTGCAGTTAGATATTTTGAAATTGAAAGTAGTAGCACTGAAACAATTTGATCTAAAGTTTTGATTATTTATGTTTAGTCCATGGTAACCTATTTTTCACTGGATGCTGTCTTATAATGTTGTTTGATGCTAGATCATCAATAATATGTACCCTCACCATGACCACAGACTATAAAGAAGTTTATTTTAGCCAATACATCTTATATGTTCAAGTCTCTTTAAGTGTAATCTCTTCTACCAGCCAGCACGGGGCGACTTCTTTGGTTGCTAAAAAATCAAAAAGTGTAGACATCTGCTTTGTTTGCTTCTCTGCTGTTTTTAATAAGTGCTGGCCGTGTACCCTGTTGTGTGGTTTGTTGCTCTGTTGTTGTTTTTTTTGTTGTTTTTTTGTTTGTTTGGTTTTTTTTTGGTTGTTATTGTCTTTATTGTCTGTGTTCTTCTGTCCCACTGTTTGTGAATGTGTAAAAAATTTTGATACAATACAGAAAAAAAGAAAAAGAAAAAAAAAGTGTAGACATCTATGGGTAAATAGCCCTCGATTCCCCTTTCTGGATAAATTCAATGGATTATTTGCTAGCTTCGATTCTTACTGAACACAATAAGATGCTCATCTTCTAAAGTACGGCTGCAAATAGTGTCCATAAGGATGATAAAGCAAGTTGTGCCTTTGGTATCTTTCTCCATTTGGTATCTTTTGGTGTCACAGTCAAATTGTAACACCTGTAATGTCTGTTTTTCAAAAAGATTAGATGACAACGATCAAAGTGTTCAGCTTTAAAAACACAAGTTGGCTAATAAATTAGAAATGGCGCAGAGGCTACAGCCACCTTTTAATTAGTCCATAATCACAATGAGCCTACCTCCCTTAAAAATTTTAGAGCTATTTTTTCTTACGTGTCTAACCAAAAGAATTTTGTCATTGTGATGTGCAATAACTTTGTCATAGCAAAGGCTTTCAAGCATCCAGATCAGTCTACCAACTTGTCGACGTAATGCCAAACGGATCATAACAAGCTTATCATTCCTGGAAGTGTGGCGGTACTAGTGTGAGCTCATCATCCCCGTGACAACGTAATCGTTACCACGCCCACAAGGCACGAGCCAACACCTGGTGCATGCATGTGTCTATTTGTCCATCTGTGTGTTTATCTGTGAGCTTGTGCAGTCTTTGATCACGAAGCTGAGGGTAAAAACAGTAATTACTGATGTAAACGCTAAATGCTGTTCCTCACCCTCCCCATCTGTGAGTAATACTCTGGAGGAAGAGCTCATTGTGGGTCTTTAGTCAAGTCAGTCAGACTGTCAGTCAGTCACACCTTCCAGGGGGAAAAACAGCCAACCCCCCCTTTCCGTTTCATGGCTTGTTCAGTTTTCTTGCAATGACTTTTATCTCCCACATTTTCTTTCTTTCTTCTTCTTCACATCTCTTATCATACTTTTAATCTTATCCCACCCCCTGCTCTGATTACGCTGATTTCCTTTCACCTCACACTACCCGTCAGTACCTCCTTCACCTGACAAACAGAGAGGTGATTTGCTCGGTCCTACACTCCCTCCTTTTCTACCTGTCAGTCAGTCCCTCCTTCTCCAGACAAAAGGAAAGAGGTATAATGGTGACTAATCTGTTGAGTAAACACATCTTTCTCTAAATACAACCTGGTTCTTTCTTTTCACCCAAATGTACTTCCCGAACTTCTTTTCTTCTCACTCACTTTGTTCCTGAACATTTGTTCTGCTTGCTGACCTGTGTCATCTTCCTTTGGCCTTTTTCACCCATTTGTTTACTCTGATTTTATCTCCTTCGCGTGCTCCTCACCCTCATGTTTTCCACTTATCTGATATCGCGTCCTTAAAGATATGTTACATTTCTTTGAATTACATCTTTTGCCTGGCTGTCATCTTGTTTGTCACTGTTTCACATTTTTTTCTTACTTAATTTAATCCTAAATCATTTATAATCCCTTTTATGTTTAATATATCCCTCCATTTAAAAAAATCCTTACTCTTTTCCCCCCATGTCTGATTTTCCTGCTCTGTCCGTCTGACATCCCGGCAGATGAAAGGCTGCACGGTGTAAATACAAGGTCAACCCCATTATGTTTCACTGTCATTACCTCAACCTCAGCTTCCGCTGCCAACACAGCAGACAACCTGTCATTAGTGAGCTAGTCTGTTAGCACTATTTTAGCTGTTACTAATGATTACCAGTCTTCAGAAAGTACTATCAGGAAGACACTTTAAGCTGCAATTGTAGAAATAACTGGAAACACTGACTTTGATTTATTGAGACAGCTCATTTGTTAAACCACCAGTCATGAAATATGTTAAGAAGTATCAGTTTGATGAACAGATATTCTGGGATCCAAAGAGCATAAAAGCTTCTGAGGTAATGTCTCAGCAATTATTCTATCATCGCCTTTTCCTAGCTTGGAATAGTGCATTAAAACAATAAGGATGAGGTTGGATGCCTGCTAGTTCCGATTAGTTCAGCTCACCATCTGGTTTTAATTTTGATCCCAGGGATTTTGCAGGTTGTTTTTTTTTTCCAAATGTTAACCTTTTGTGTAAATCATAGTGTAAGATGTTGTCCTGTAACTCCTCATGAATTCTACTGCGTGAATTTAAGTTTGTAGTGATAAAGAGACAAAGATTTTGTATGTGCTCTGCAGTCAACCGTCTTATCCTTGTTAAACACTTGTGGCGCAACGTGGGAATGATCTGACACCAAAGCTACGCCACTAGTCACAACACGGCACAGATAACAAGGCACAGATACACATATGAAGCAGAATGAAGACAGAAAGAAGGTGAAAAAAAGACAAGTTATTAAAAAAAGGACATTAAAATCTTTGTCATTTAATGGATCAGTACCGATCAACAACAAAGGCTAAAGTCTTTCAAAATATTCATAATCCAAAAGTAAATAAATATCTTCACAGACAGAGTGAAATGACTTAGGATGGAGCAAAACAGGAAACATTTGGAGGATGCTCACATTATTTCATTCAAATCCACAGTGTGTTCAGTAGAAAAAGATATTTTCTCACAAATTAAAGGTAAACATTGGAGCTTGAATGCCGATTTTAAATGTTTCTTTTAGAGCTCATCCAAGCAAACATGATTTCACACTGAAAAAAAAAAACAGTGATGATTTCTACACTAGTCTAAAATTAAATTATTACTATTTTTAGAAAGAAAAACAAAGAAGAACGCTGTGGGACAAAGTAAGGAACGCTGGGAAGAATGATGAGATATTTCTGTTCTAACATCTAGGAAACAAAGAAAGAAAGCAAGGAAACGTATCATCACTATCAAGCCAAACCAGAATAAAAGTTAGAACGACCAAAGCTTTTGCAATAATCCCAAAATGACTATATTAGAGTGAAGATTCAAAGTAACTTTTTTGGTGCATTTGCACTTCAACCATTAACACATGACTTCTCTGAAGATTGGAGAATAACTGTGGTGTGTGTTTCAAGTAAAGCTTTTATTCTCAGGGAAAAGTATTATATAGTATATAGGATTTCGAGTTTGATTCTGGCCAGCTTGATGGAACATATTTCTTGTGAACGTGTGGGGGTATTTGGATCCTCTATGTGAACTATCTGGTGCTGAAGAATGAGGAAAAAAGTGAAGGATAATGAATGCAGGGGTGAAGGAACAGTGGACGATTGGGTATGTGTACCTCCGCCAGGTCAGAAAAGAGGACTTGACTGGCGCTTCGCCTCAAAACGTCCCAGTAACTCCGCGCCACAAACTCCTGACTGTCTTTTTTTAGCACCTGTAGGAGTGGTCAAGCAGGGCCAGGGTCAGTCAACCTCCAAATCAACCAGTTCAGGAAATAAACGTCCATTACCCATTCAATCAGTTGTCATTATAAGTAAACATATACAGATTATATCTCTGAATTTATATGTGAACATACAGGTGGATATTTAGGAAAGGTGTCACATGGCACTCACTAGTTCTCTCAATAAAGGAGACCCTATCCATTCAAACATAAAAAAACACAAAAACATGTTAGCATCAAACAGGAAGGGGCATACACAAATAGCTAGCTTCTCTGCAGCTAGGTTTAGATTACAGGTAAAGGAAAGGATACTACCAACAGGGAATCATCAGGATGATGATGGATGTGCTATTCTGTCTAAATCACTGAAGCTATAACTCACTCATGTTGCTGACTCAGCAACAAACACAAGGAAAAAAATGTTTTTAAAGAAGAAATATATGAAGATGTCACCCTATAGCACATTTTCTTTATTAAATAAGTACTTTAGGCAGTTTTATAGCAACAGTTGGCTCTGTTAGCAAACGTTATTCTACCTTAATAAAGGCTGACCACGGTGCTGAGCTTCTGACCACCCACCTCGTCTCTCTCTCCAGGGAGAAAGCAACAGCAGCCATTTTAACATGACCCTGCAATGCTCTTAACTTCAGTGCGACAATGCGGCTATCCATCACAGCAGTGACAGGAGGAGTGCATATGTGTGTCTGTCTGTGTGTGTCTGTCTATGTGTGAGACAGCATGACAGAGAGAGAGAGAGAGAGCAGTGGCTGGTAGTGTATTGTTTCTGACAGCACACTGCTGATTTTCACTACACTGCAGGCCGTTTCCACTCCACATATAAATTACTACTCATAACAGGCAGCTACAGTCACTGTCATTACATCTCAACAGACACTAGGTACAAAAAAGCACTTGAAAGTGATAAAATGGAACTATAATTAAATGTCCAATGTTTCAAATAATGAGGTCCTGGTGATCTCTGTGAGCGAAAAGCTCAGGCTTGGAACCCTAACCCAAAACATTCAGTTTTAAACATTTCTTTCTGCTTTTATGGCTAAAAGGGAGGCAATGTCCTTAATACGGTGATCTAAAGTACACGGCTCTGGCTGTGATCACAGAAGCACCGCTCACCTGCTGTTCAAATTTTTTGTTTGCAATGGACAACCAATTAAAAGAAAGCTGTATTAAAAGGATGGTGGCTTTTGAGCTAAATTTGCTTTTCTCGTTTTTCTCGGCTTCATCAAGAATAACAGAAGTAAGGATTATTTTGAACTTTGAATTATGCAAATCTTTTCTAATACAATCCAGGCAGGAAAAAACATATAGAATTTAAGTATAATTAATTATTTAAATATTTAAACTATAATATAAAGCATTTCAGAAATGTCACACGTGATTATTATTCATTAATATGCAAAATTTTGTACAGCAGCTTCAGTAGTTTTAGTCATCATCATTGATACCCAATAGCCAATCTCCAACTATTTCCTAATGATTGATGCCTTAATAATTGTTTTCCGACTTAGAGCTCATCAGGTTACATACAATTAATAAGTCAAATCTATCAGCATTTTGCACAGGGTTGGTAAATAAGAAATATTCATCCTTGAGAGGTAAAAACCTGTTTCATTTTCGATCTCATAAGGCTCGACAGACAAATTCAACCTCTTTGTGTTCTTTATGTAAATATGATTTTGTTCAGACAACAGAAACATATTTTTGTATGTACCCTTGGCCTCCTTCCCTAAAAAAATCTCCTTCTATATCTTTATATTAACAAACTTCCCCCATCAGGAACAAACAATACTGCCAAAAAATACAGCACATGTCCTAAAAAGGACTAAAATGGAGCCTGATTGTCTTTAGAGCTCTACAGGGTCTCAGGTCATTTTAAATTACATCGCTCTCTTTTTGTAAGAGTTCATCTCTCCTGACCCCTTAAATGTATTACTCTTTTCTTTGTCTGTCCATTAATCATCCCTCAATCAATCAATCAGCTGACTTGACAGATGGGCAACCTTTCTTGAATTTTTCCCTTCTCCCTCTCTCTTTCTCTTACATTCATCCTTCAAAGTAGCTTACAGAGTACATTTCACTGATAACAGAGGATCAGGTGGACTGGGTCAAATTTAAGGCTTTTTCCATCATCAGGAGCAGAAGGGAATGACAGGCCTTTTTATTTTTATTAAGGTTTTTAGACTCCAGAGAGTCAGTGTATTAAAAAACTCTGCTGCATATATATATATTATATGGAATGTTTAAACTGAACGCAAAATAAAGGCCATTAATGTGTGATTTAATGTGTGATATTTAAAGGTCCTGGCAATCTATATTAATTTAAACTTGGCAGGGTTGGTGTGTCCTTATAATTAATGAACAGATATGATTGATGTAACTCTTCTCACCTAATTTTTCACATTAAACTTAATAATTGTATCTAAAAGAGATGGTGACACACAGACTGCAAAGCAAATGTTTTAGTGACTGAGAAACAGTTCAGATGTATGGAAATATATATGTGTCACAAGTGGCAGGTGAGCTAAAACACAATTACAGACAAATCATTTATATTTTTTCAGCTATTCATTTCCACACAGCAGCCCAAAAATATTCATCGGAAATGTTAAAATACCTCGTTGGTAATCACTGCAGCAGATTCACGCTGTCTTGGCCGGCTCTGCTCTCGAAGCTGAATTGTGTCTCGCTTGAATGATTCTGACTTTTGACAGTTTGGAGGGCAGAGCCCAAAGGGAAAAGGTCACTTTGAAAGTGACCTCATAACCTCTGTGATTGACAGGTTCAGTTTACTGTGTTCAATTTAAATATTTGCCCATGTTTATGTTTTATTTCACATTATTATTGACACAAATATAATTCCACACAGGTAAAGTTTAACATATTCTCACATGGTTTCACAAAACTTAAGCTTTTTGTTACCATAAGGTTTCTACTCTGACTGATTGCTAAACAATAAAGCTGTTGAACTGACCCAGCTAATAAAAACAGCCTATTCTCTGCTCCATAAATATCTTTATCTATCTAAAAAGCAGAAAACGAGACTATGCCATGTGGATACCTACGCTGTTCATGGGGGCAACCTGATATCCATACAGCTGCATACTCTAACACACAGAGAGAGACACGAGGAAGAGAAAGAAGAGGACAGAGCATGCAGTCAGAGAGGAGGAGAGAAGGTAAAAGACATGTTAGTACATGCAAGGAAAGAGGATGTGCCATTTTCAACACATCTATGATTACATTTTAGAATACACATTGTGCCTAACACCAAGCATGTACTTTCAAGAGATAAGTTATGTGGGAAACATATCCTTCATTTTTCAGTGACAGTATTTCCTGTGAGCCAACAGCACAACCAGGACTGTTCTGTAAGATACCCAATGCTTAGATCAACAAATCTCTATCTCTTATTTGCTTACACATCTACACAGGTTCTTAGTAAACTTGGGTTTGAAAGATTTACTTCAAAATCAATAAGATATAGATAAGTAACAAAAGGAAGATTTTAATAAGAAGCTTTTAAATATTTCTTTTGCAAATCATGTCATGAAAAACTTACCTTGAGAACATTTTACTATAACTAATGCACAAGATACCTAATGGCTTATCTGTTTGTAAGTTACCTTAATTAATCTGTTTGTAGCACAACACATATGTGGGATGGGACAAGTTAATACTGACTCATCAAACCTGCTCTCTTTGATAGTTATTAAGTTGCATATACACTCTGACACAAAGAGAGAAGTAATGCGAGGTGCTTGGTGTTATTTCTAAAACTCAATTGCATAAAGTGCTGAGAAAGACACATATTCTATCATATATATAAATCAAATATACCAAGTCCACAGCAGGGATAACTGTCACAGAGATACCAAACAGTTTCTACGAGGCAGCATGCACTCAAAACTAGTTACATGAAAGGTTTAGTTTCACACCTGCATGAATACAAATGACAGTTAACTTTGACGATCATGATGATCGTTTTTAACAAATCCATGTGCGCAGTGTGACACAGCACTTCTGTCAGCAACCTTAACTAAATGGTAAGAGGTGTTGTGACAGTTTACACTCATGGATATATTAAAATGTAAAGTAAGTTTACATTAATGTTTACCTGTCTTTTAAGTTTACCCCACTAACAACAGAAGCATTTATGAAGTCCACGTCCACATAGACTATTCATGGTTGGTTCACTGTTGCCAGCATTAAGGTTAATTAGCAGTAATACCCATGCTTGTCTGAGCATACACCCCCACACCCCGTTACCATCTTCCTTACCAACTGCGCGGACTTCTCAGCATCTCCTTTCCTTCCTTTCTTCTCGTTTTTCTTCCTAAAGATCTCCTGAAGCTGTAATGAGAGAAAAGACGAGGAGCTCATTGACAATTCAAAGTCAGATCTAAAACGCTGTTAAAAAAATGAAATGCTCAAATGAGTTCAAACAAGGTCATTCACTCTTTCAAGCACATCTATGATGTCATTCAGGTAATGGTCTTTTGGCAGCATGATTAAGGGAGTATTCAGGTTTCACTCTGGAAGTGATTTATGTTTATGCATATGTGTTATTAAAGGAAAAATCAATGCTGAATTCAATATGAAAAAAAAAACTGCTTCTACACTACAGTGCCGGGTAAGTTTTTATATACTTACTTATTCAAATTTAAATTAAAATACTAATTTCTTTTAAATAAAATAACAAGATTTGTAATATAAATGTTATTATTAATTAAGAGTTAAATAAAAAATGCACAACCACAAACACAGCAACCTGATGTCTACACAAATACAGATACATCTAAGAGCATATGATCATAAAAGACAGCAATAGTCACTGGTATTGTTCAATTTCCATTTAAGAATATTTAATTACTCTGACAACCAATATCACATGTAAAACAGAAAAATCTGTATCTAAACCCTCAATGTGAGAATCTTTTTCTGTCCCACACCTGCCTGCTCCCACAGGATTTTAAATCATTACCACTCCCTCCTGCTGATGTGCCATCCCACTCCCACCAACCTTCAGAGATTCTGATCCCTTCATGCCTGCAGCGGTGTTTTGACTTGAAAACGTGTCAGTTCTATCCCACAGGGAAAGAAACACATGTGTAGCCCTCAAGAAATCCTACAGTTAGTCTTCTCAGCTTTGTAATAAGCTGCCTTTAGAAGATGCAAATTCAAAGTCAACCTTTTTAACTGCTTTAAACGTTAAAATATAGTTAAAGCTCAAGGCACTGGGAATAAAGGTATATAATAGTATATTCGCTTAGGGTACTACAATGTTGGCCAAACATTTTTTTTATTGATTAAGATGATGGAGACACTTTAATAGGGAAAAGACTTCTGTAAATGATGCAATCTGTGAATGTATTGTTTGAGAGCGCAAGGATGCTTGCATGAGACTTGAGGAACAGTCTTACAGGCAGATAAAGCTGAAACACGACCAAGCATTAGTCCAAATTCTGAAATGATTTACTGAGTTTACAAACGTAATGTAACATGCTGAGAATCAAGATTAATTTCAAGCTGTCAGTCTGTTAAGTTTTCAATAAGGTAGTAGCAGCAACTGTTCTCAATCTTGCCCATCTGTAACATGGTGATGTTAATTTAACCAGAGAGCACAATTATTTGTATCTAAAAACTGTTAAATCTCTTTAACAATCCCAGACAGAAGCTAGGAAAAGTCTAACATCAACTAGAGCAGCCTGCCTTACCAACTCTACTCGATTAGCAACAAAAATGTGGAGCCAAGTCACCAGAAGCACAGCACTACCACAGAAAATCAAAAAATCTTGTTGTCCTTTTTGGGGAGTTTTGACCTGTGATATCAAAAATGGTAGAATGTCAGGTATTAAATTTATCAGTATTGAGCTTGTAGTACTGTAACAGCCCAAGTCACAGTGGGTAAGGAATCGTTTTAGTAATGTAAGGTAGACAAGATTTGACATACTGACATTTGATCTATAAATGTGATCTATGACAATTCAAGTGTTTCTACTATGCCTGGTTTGACAGTTCATAAACAGTGTTAAGTTCATTATAGTTGCTAATACTGACATAGAAAACAACCAGGCAAGGAAAAAACATCTAGGATGGACTGATTTGTGCAATCTTGTTTTTAAAGCTTCAAGATGAGGATTTCTGGTACGCCAATCTTTACTTTTCAAAAACCAGACATCATGAGTCAGAGGGTGACACTGGATGAACTGAGGGTCTGCACTAAAGCCCGTCATTTGATGTATAAGGTTTAGTATCCTTTTTCCTGTAAATCACATAAACATATTTGTACTATAAGAGTCCAAGAATTAAAATATTGACTTGAAAATGGGCAAAATAGGGCCTCTTTAATTTTAGTAATTTAATAAACTACATTACAACACCATGGTACAAGTCAAAATTAGATTTTCAAAAGTAAGGTTTTGTCTTTTGTCCACTCTAAAATCATGGATTGTTATTTAATACTAAAGCTATTCTTTAACACTGCTTTTTAGTAAAAGGAGTAACAAAAAGGGTTAATATTAATATGTAAATTCAGGTTTTCTCCCAATATCTGCGACTCACCACTAGGAACTCCCTCTTATCCACCATCTGGTTGCCGTCTGCATCAAACATATTGAAAGCAATCTTAAAGCCAGCATGAGGCTCTGGGGAACAGAGAAGGGAACACATAGGGTGAGTGTGTGCATGTGTTTGTTAAAGGCAATTTGAAATCCATAAATAGTAAGTGGAAAAAGTGTCTCAAAGCATCAATAGGAGGGAGAATGACTTAAATGAAGCCACAGTTTCAAACATAGCTGCTTATCCAAAGAAAACATTAAAGTGTTGACCAGGTTAAAGTTATTTAAAAAAAAAAACACAATAGCAGAACAAATACATTTGCTACAGACTGACCTTTCAATTTGACATTTTATTCTATTTATTCAACCATTTTTAAGGCCAAACAAGGAAGCATGCATGTAAAAAAAAAAGAAAAAGAAAAAAAGACAGTAATTTCTATTTAAACTAGTTTCACATGCTGGTCATACGTCTAAGAGATGAAGTAAAATGTAATTTCAATTATGGTCTTATGGTTTTTGGTGTGGGGGTGTGCACTGCCTTTCACCCTGTGGCAGCTATGACAAACTCCAGCCCCCTGCAAGCAGAAACTGAGCAGTTAAGATCAAGTACGCTTATTTTTATTCACTATAACTTCATCCATCATCTATTTAGGTTGAATTAAAATTAAAATTTGTGGAAAAATCATTAAAAGAAACAACTTTTTATTGATCCCTTATGTGTCAGTACAGCTGAGATCCATATTTGTAAAACACCCTAAAACATGCTATGCCAGTGACTGGCCCACCCCCAAGCATCAGAGCAATACAGTGTACACTCTTAAATGTCAAGAGGATGGCTGTAAATTATACACCGGGGACACCAAACAACCTCTGGCTAAGTGGACGGCGCAACACAGAAGAGCCTCGTCCTCTGGCCTTGACTCTTTAGTCCACTTAGACACACGGGCCAATGGTCACGCTTTCAATTACAAGGACGTGCACATTCTGGTCAGTGAGGAACGCTGGTATCATCAAGGAGCCAAGGAGGACATTTATGTGAAAAGGGAATGACAATGTTGGAATTGAGGAGGCCTTAGAGAAAATCTTTAACCATCTGATCGCAGTCATTACCCAACTGTCTGTGAAGAGTGCAAGAGGCTACTGATTAACGGTCACGCCAATTTGCATATCAACCATTATGAAACTGATCTCATCGCTCATTGTTATGCAGTGGCGCTACTTTCAATCGTTATGCAGCTGGACTGTTTGTAAGGTTAGGGAGAGACTGGGTCACTTGGATGAGTGCTGAAAGTACTGAAATTGTTGCTTCCAGATGAAAAGAATAAACTTTATGGAATTTTATAGCCACTTTCTTTTTTTCTTTTATTAAAGAAATTTATCTATTACTTTTCTTCATCTTTTGAGAAGATGTTCTTGCAATTTTCCTACGTTTACATTTTTTTCATCTTTGGTCTGTCTCTGTCTCTTTTTGTCTTGCCCCAAGGTGAAGGGGAAAACCACAGCATTTGTGAGATCAACATTTTTTAAATTTCTATATGTACTTAGCGCACTTCGCTTTGTCACGTAATTTTTCTAAAAATAAGAATATAATAATGCAAACAACAACTGGGTGAAAGAGATATGATAAAAAGGTGCAGATGAGTTTAAGTGAAAGGAGAATGTGTGCAACTGAATTGACTCACTTGTCAAGATGCAGAGCAGGAACAGGTACTCGGTGTATGAGATGATGCCTGGTAATGAGATCAAGACAGAGAGAGTTAAGGAAGAGGTCATATTCAACTCACACACACACACACATACACACATACACAATGTTTACAGATGTTCAAAGACTGTGGGCCTCACACAAAGACATACACACTAACACACATAATCCTTCCTTTCATGGAGATAGCATCTTAAAATGTGTCTTCTCAAAGCGGAGCTGCCAGCGGCCATTTGGCCACACACCGATTCTTTTTCTACACCCCAAGTGTCCAGAGTAAAGACACAGGCTAGCGTGTGTCTGTGTGTGTATGTGTCTTGTGTTTGGATAAGCAAGTGAAAAATGTTTCAGGAGGTGATCCTTTCTTGCCTCAGGCACATTCAGGAATCTTTGCAGCTCCATCTACGCTCTCTCTCCCTCTTTTTTCGCTTTCTGTCTGATCGTTCAGATAGTTCAGGGTGGTTCGCTTGAGTGTTACGGGAGACTGCTCCCCCATTTGTGTGTATGTATGCATGAGTGTGTGAGGGTGAACACGACACCAGTTAAAGTCAGTGTGAGCCTTGTGTTTTGCTGATGCTTGACTGCTTTGTGTAGAGGAGCTGGTTTGGAACTGAAGTCTTTTTTCCCCCATGTAGCCTGAGCTCTGCATAGACTAGAGCATACAAAATTGAAGCTACTCAGGTTTCTATAATACAGTCTGTTGTGTGTTTACGCTCCCATGCTTTCAGTGATATACCACAGAATAAGAGGGATTAATACTGATCTCAAGGTGATATTTAATCATGATGGAAAGGGCTGTAAACAGGCATTATATGTCCTCTCCAATAGTTTTAACATTAACATATGTTCCATATGTTTGTTGATTTTGCCTTCCTTTTCTTTTAATTGTCAGTGGGTTAAAGATGTTAAGAGTCCATTGTAATCCAATAATAACAAATCTGATGGTTTGAATCAGCCCCAAGAAATTTTATTAACTCAAAAAACCCTGATATTTACCTCCAGAGAAATTTATTTAACTTAATCTATATCAATGCATATGTTAATACTAAAGCACCTTCCTCTATCATGGACATCTGCTATGGACTCACTAGAATAGCATATATTAAGAAGCCCAAGAAGATCTAAATTTTGTGTTTGTTATGCAGGTCAACTAAAGAAAAATATAAGGGTAAGTTAAGTACATGTGAACCATGATGACATTACAGTAGTACTAATAAACCGTTTTAAATGGAAAACATGAATGTGTCACATGAGTATTAACATATTAGGTGCAGGTAACAATGTTCCATGTTGCATACAGGCAATGCAAATGACTGCAATGAGTCTTTACTGCTTTGACTATATTTCCAGTTATATTTTCACTGCAGTCTGAAATTATTTTTGATTTAATTATCCAATGTGTGGCATTTCACTTACTTTATCAAAGTCAGAAAGTCAAAAACCAAAAAGGCATTCCCAGTTAACACAAATGCTTTATACTGGTACTATGAAAGGAATATTTACTCAGCTGTTGTGTGTGACAGATGGAAACATGGATTAACATTGTGTTAAATCTGCGATATACATACCCAGCATGTTACTGTATACTTACACAGTCAATTTTTCTAAAGCACAGTAATGCATTACCCATACTGTGGTAGTCATAAATAACTGATAATCAATAAATCAATCATGAATTAATGTAGTGTGTTCTGACATTAACACACAGACACAGTGAACCCCTTTGAGTCTTTGTCTGATTTTCAACTCTATCGAGCTCAGAAATCCAAAGACATTACAACGATTTCAACTTTCAAACGTACTGGGCCACGTACACATCACACCCACAGGAGCTGTTCAGCCACTGAAAAGCCATGTCATGAAGTTCCTGAGAACAGCTTGTGTGCTGATGTTAATGTCACTGGAGTTTTGGAGCTTTACACATTATGTACCTCAGCACTCGGTGACCCCCGCTATATAACTTTATGGGGTCTGCCACTTCATGGCTGAGTTTCTATGGTTACTAAATCCCTCCACTTTGTAGTAAAACCACTTACAGCTGATTGTGAAAATATAGGATTTAAATTTAATGGACTGACTTGTTGCAACAGTGACACAACTGAGTTCAGTGAGCGCTGTAGAAGGACTCATTCTTTTACAAATGCATGCTAGGCCACACATTTTATACACCTGTGGGAATGGGACTGAAAGCACCTGAATTTAAAAAAGTAATATGAATTTTGTGAAATCTAGGTAACATATGCAGTAGTTTTGTGACCCTGCAGCACGATGTGTTGCTTTTTGCAACACGTTCTCATCCTGACGCGTAAAATACCAACGACTGTGACAAATTGTCGGTATGGGAATGAGAGCAAGTTGGAATAAATCTATAAATGTGTTTTACGTGTGAAATGAAAATAAACCGAAAAAAGCATTACGTACCCTAAATCTGTTCACTTTCAGATCCTAAATCACTTTGGAAAACACAATGTGATGGCCACAACATAAAGCTATTTTATTGTTGAATTATTAGTCATACTTTGATGTGTTTGTATTGGAATGGATGGCTGGAGCCTTTGCAATGAGCGTCTCTTACAGCCGCGAGCTTGTATTTACTCAGGTTATCTTTGTCTAACATTTAAATTTGTTTGATGTTCTGACACATGAGAAATATGTAAAAAAAAAAAAAAACCTTGGAAATCAAGAATGTTTTACTGTATGTGAATGAAAAAATCAGCCCTGTTAAATCTTGATGGTGTGTGTGGTCTCAGTAGTGGTCCACCAGGAATGAATGGTTAAAGTACAATAACCATAGATTACCCTGAGGTTTCTGTTTACAAACTTTCTCTTTTTCCTCTCTTACCATATTCATTTCTCTGTCTACTTTGCCTGTTTGTCTTTTATAGCCCATCTTTTACACTCCATCTGTTTCTTATATTTCTCCCACTCTCCTTTTAAATCTCCTTTTCACTCCCTGATTTGATTTTCCTACTCTATTCTTTTTTTCCCTCCATCTCTCTGATGAAAAAAGGAAGCAGACCACCCTCCTGGCTACTTGTCCCTGTAGACTAAATCAAACACACTCAAACGTTACAAGCTTAAGAATATACCTTTGTTATTATGGTAGAGGAAGAGAGGGGATGCATCACACATGGTTTGCTATATTTAGCATCTCCCAGTGTGTGTATATCTGTGTATCTGTGTAATTATCACTACAGGGAATCAGTCCCAGACTGTGTTATTCCTCTGTTACATACTCCTGAGGCAAATGCTTAATTAGGGTGAGCTTTTCTCTATCTTTTAGTGTTGCATAAATTGTAGAGGAGAGGAGAGGAGAGGAGAGGAGAGGAGAGGAGAG